AAAGTTAAATAAACGTGTAAAAATGACTCTATCACATCTTTGTCCCACATTTATTTCTAATTGTGTTGTTGAAAGTGAGGTTTGTCAGAGAAATGCAATGGGGGATAGCTGTGAAATTGAAGGCAACAGAGACTTGACAAAGTACATGTATCAGTAATTGAGGCACCATAGTCAAAGAACATTTTACAAAATTGCTGGTACCTAGACGCATTTTATTGTGTGCCTGTGGCAATACAAATCTTTGTAAAACAATTGTATCAAAATAAGGAAATTTATTTTACAAAAACTCTAATTATTCATAAAAGCACATGCTTCGGCATTAATTTAATATTCCTCATGTTTCCTTCATTTCTTGGGTTACTTACCAGACATGCCTTTGTGGGTGGGCTTATTTCATGCTTTGTAGCCCTGTGACGTGGAGTTAGCTATCCTGATATGAAATGATGTCAGAACCAGCAAATGTATGTGCAAAATGCACACATCTGCAACAGTACAGCAGCACCATACAGTGTAAAGGAGGTCTACCAATCCAAACAAATGAAAAAACTGCCAAAAAATAATATTTGTGAGTGGCATTTCATAGAAATCTGAACAAATGTAATGTCTAATCACTTGAAAAATGGAAGACATGGGAAAAACTCTTTTCAAAAATATCTATGACATCTGTAAAAGTTGGAAACTTGGCTTCCTTAAAAACTATGGGGTGGAACTTGTAACTAGTGGGTAAGAGTGTCCAGTGATAACCCAGTCACAGAGTTGAATGATGAAAGCCAGATGATTGGTTGCTTGCCAGGTACTAGCCACTGCAGCAGAGTTCCTCTCATTCCCAAGTGCAGACAAGCTAATGGGGATCGGTAAAGACAGGGGGCGCCTCATCTTGAAGGAGCTTGGGGTAAGTTTGGGGTTTTCTTGTCTAATTTCCATCTGAAATCCCAGTATCTTTAGTGTCAATATCAATTTTATTAGACCTTATTTGCAAGGAAGCCATTTTGATCATGGTCTCTGAAATATATCTTGTTCAATGTAATCTGCCAAAAGGGGTGGTGCCAGACTATGTTGGGTTTCACTTTTTTTAAATGTTGCTTAAAAAATTTGATATATAATCACAAATTTAAAGTTTTGAACTTTGTAACTGCTTTCACTTTTATGGTTCATCGAAAGTCCAGATGTAATGTTTTACTTATGTTTGGGCTTGCTTTTTCTTTCAGAGTAATACTGGCGATTATGAGAGGGTCATCCAGGTTTTTGTCCAAGTGGCCTCTGTAATTGATAGCAAAAGGGAGTCTGTGATACAAGCTGTACACGAGGCATCAGGTATGGCATTTCTTCCTCGTGTAAAGCTTCTACTCTTTAAGAAACTGCACTTTATGGAAGAAAGAATAAAGAATGATACATCAGTATGTCCATATTTGCAAAGGAAGGAAAACTCATATTGCAAGAATGAAAAGTAGGGAATTAACTGGAACGAATCCCACAAAGAGAGTGATCAGGCCATTTTCCAATCACTTTATTTTAGTTTGTGTTACAGAAGAGTGTATAGCGCACAGAAGCAAATAAAAGGCTGGTCAATAAAAATCATCACGCTTCATCTCAACTGATGTTCCGAGTAATTTATTGTGGTAATTCACTTTGATAACTGTTAACAGATAAAAGCAATTAAACTATCATTTAGACAGCTAATAATTTCTTATGCTCTTCTGTTGAATGACAATTATCACAGGATTAACCAAGAATTCGTAAGAATGTATCCATTATGTAAGCTTGTCATTCAAACAGGTGAGACTAAGAATAAATTAACATGCACTCTTCAAAGACAGAAACTTCACGCAAATAATAAACTTCATCTGTGGAAAGGCAAAGTATCTTAAAGTTCTAATATCAGTGATATGGTAAACTCATAAACTATTCTAAAAAATACTTGTGTGTCATACGGCTTACTCCTTTGACCAGCATAGAATCCTTTCCTAGCCCTTAAACATCCCTGTCTAACGCACCTGTGTCTAAACAAACAAGTAGCAGAATATAACTCAAAAGCTCACTTGCCTGAAACTAATACATAACCAGATAAAGCACAAATTTTAACAGTATTTGTCAATCAATTTGTGTAACCAATTAAACTCTTTACATACTATTAAAAAGATACGACAACCTAAAAGTGATCTGACAATACAAATGATATCTTTAGTATATGGGATAAATTAACGATTGTGTTTTCTTACCCAAATGATGTTAAATGGCCATATCACATCTAGAGACTTCAAAAGTCAATCTTGAAGTGAATTCAAACGGAATATCAAAGTAAGATTGTGATACGTGCGCAAACGTGCCATGTCTTAGAACGCGCTGTAAAAATTAAAATTAACTGAGCATGCTTCATTATTCAAGCAACATGTGCGCATCCTAGACAGACCCTTACAGCGCGAGTTTTTTATCTTGATATATCACTGTTTAACAACCTGACGGAATAAGGCATGTGGCTGAAAAAGGTTTAGTTCCTGTTGATTTGTATTGCACCAGAGTCTTTTAACAGTCCTGATTCCTCTGATTTAAGAATGATTTTACATGTGCCCAGTAAGGGGTAGAGTTAAACCAACAGTGACTCTTCCAACTCGGGACTCTTTTCATTGGTTCGGCGTGCAAAGTTTTTTCTTGTCTAAAACATCCTGCTGGGGGCCCTTATCTGGATTGTTTCAAACCAATCTGGAGGGAGAGCATAATGTACAGATGACTCATTATTGTACATTGATTTTTTTTCTCTCTTTTTTGCAGTTAATTTGGTTAATAATTGGGATTAAGCAAACCAGTCATGAAAGTATGTCGAGATGTTCATCGCTGTAACTCTGAATGTAATTTTAGTAATTTTTTGCACCTTTATCTGCCTCCATAATTGCTTGAATCACAAGGTTAAGGACTGCATGGCCTGACCACAAGATTGAGTGGATATTTGTGTCCATCTAAGGCAAACAATCACCTTTGGAGAGCTCACAAAATGCTTCCGATAAAAGTATCAATTATTGTGCGCCAAAGAAACCAAGTATGCCATGCTGAGATAATAGGGATGATGACATAACCTTGGATTTTCTCTTTATTTTTTCTGCTGTTGGTGTACACAGATGTCATCCTTGAAAAGCTGTTTACCATCGATAAGTGCAATCCTGAGGCAATCGCAAACAGCATTCTGGTTCATCTGGGACTCATCAAGGTAACATTCATTGATATACCCCCTTATGAGCACTGTGAACAAGCACCCACTAAACAGTGAAAGTATGCTACATTATTGTCCTTATAGGAAAGTCCCTGCCAGGCCATTAATCCAGATGTCTGACAATATTAGTATAAAGGTCTCAATTTAAGCTGGTGTCATACTTCCTTCCCCTTTACTTTTGAGAGTATAACTAGGCTTAGGAGGTTGCCCGGATCCCTCTTCCTCTTAATTCATCTGGGATTTTTTTTGGTTTGAATAAGCCATTAATGGACCTTACTTTCAGCAAGATCAGGATTTATCCAATTTGGGATGAATCCTTGGTAGTAAACAAGACCAGGGGCTACCTTCAGGGGCATTGAACAAGTTGAGGGTCTGTCCAGCTCTGAACCATGCTAAAGTCTTCCATTCTCTGAACAAGCCCAATATCTACCAAGCTCTGAAACCGGTCCATGGTTAGGAAACATTCCTTGACCTACACACCTGTAAATGAGTCCCAGGTGTTAAGGACTCTGGAACAAGTGTCCATGGTCTACCCACTGAATGAGTCTTAATGTTAACCTTCCTGAATCCAGTGAGGTTAATGGGTAATTCCATGCAGATATCTTGGGTTTGAAATTATAATTTTTCACAGAAAGTAATCATGTTGGGAAAATAGGCACTGTGGTGAAAGCAGCGATGTTGGAAAACAATGGATATTACATAAAGCATGGCCCTATCTGTACAAGATATTCGTGTGGGATTGCTTTTTGGTTTGCCAACTTCAGTGAGCTTTGTATTCCACATGATACCAAAAACAGGAAGGTTGCAAAGTTGTCAGTCTGTTACCATAGTAACACGTAGCTTTACTTGATCCTTGCAAAGTCCAAATTTCAAAGGTAATCTCTATGATAGAGGGACACTCCCAAGCAAGAGACATCACCGGAGGCTAAGTCTTAACTTAATTGCCACCATATGATGGAAGAGAATGCAATGGGAAAATCCCATCCAATATGCCAGTTTGTTGCCCACATAATTGCTCTGAAAAGAATAATTCTTGAATGAGTGTGGAGCACAGTTCATGTGCGACTTCGCACTACAAAAATGTCATCATCTACTGCATCGAATCCATGTAATTTCTGGGATTATTTCCCACTTTTTTACAGAGTGAAGACAAGATCAAGCCTGTACAAAACCCCAGTGGGTTGCTCTTGGCCATGGCGCATGTTGTGAAACAGGACTATTTCCCTAGACACCTGTCGCAGCTCTTCATCACTTTTTTGTCGAGGTAAGTTACTTTCTTGACTTAACGTTGAACACCTCAAATGCAGGAAAGAGACTGTAAAGCCTGAGTACAACTGCCTGATGCATGGATTGTAGTGATCAACCTCTTTATGTGTGAGGTCTTGGTGTTAATAGGCTAATCCAAGAACTTTTTGTTGGTTCACTACGAAGTACCGGTTTTTATTGACTTCAGGAAGTTTCCTAGAGAAACTGCTAAGTAGGATCCTACTGCCACAGTGTGAGAGGGATTTAGCAATCTAAGCATTATCAAAGCAGTGAGGTGGCTGTCCTTCATATGGCTCATTGAAACATCCCACTGTCTGTCTTGAAGGTTTTACCCATCCTCTGGAAACAGGGTGTCTACAGTTGGCCCACTGGGTGTCCAAAGACACCCAGACGCCACTCTAGCTAAAATACTGCTCACCATCCCTCCCAGGGACACCGAGAAGTGTGTCCTCAGATCTTACACAACTCATCACTCAACCAGAACAGACTGCTTGAAATTTTATCCATGTTCGTTATTTTGTGCAGGCCTCACCAAGGTCTGGATGTGTGCTTTCAGCCTAAGCATCAGTTTCTTCAGGCTCTTTATTCAATCTGATTACTACCAGTACCAGACGGAGCACTTGTTGGTAAAAACAACGCCACTTGACATTCTTGTAAGACAAACTTTCTCATAGCTTTGAATATAGAGTCACACCAAACACCCCTATGCGCTGAATGGTTGAGCTGGGCCTTGTGGCTGTCGGGCTGAAAGTGAATCTGGTTTGATTCTTGATTACTGTGAAGTTAGTTTGTTAGTCTGCACTCGATGCTCTGGATTTTCTTTAGGTTGAGTCCCTACAATTGAAAATTGGTACCCCAAGCGTGAGTACTGATTACTCCAGGACCAATTGTGCAAAGAAATTGACCGAAATTAAAAGAAATTTAAAGATTAAACTTCAACAGTTTAGCTAAGGATATCTATCTTATTGATGGTCACACAAGGGAGGTGTTGATCCAGTGTGTGAGCTAATTTAAACCCACATCTTTCAAAGAGATGCTGGACTAATGTTGTTTGCGTCTATTGCATGAATGGGCAGTTCGCTCATCGTATGAATCCAAGAAACCTAGCCAAACTTTCATAACATCTAAACACTCTTTGAAATGGAGTGCTTAATATTTCCTCTTTGTGTGCAGTTCACCTTCATTTACATCTGTGTTGTACATGTGTATTTTTAGAGTGGCACTTCCTGTGAAGACTGTTCAAGTGAACTTAGAGAGAAAAAGCATTACCTCGCATTCAGGTTGACACTTGATCTCTGATTTCAACTTCAGTCAGGATCTTTGACATATTTGCACACATTCCTTGCTAAGGTGAGGCCTGATTCTAGAGCTTCATCTTTCCATAGGCTATTTGTTTGCTACAGCTGAAATTTTCGTTTTCAACCAAGATCAAATTTTGAGATATAGTCAGCTCTGTGTTTATACCAAAATGTTACGGCATTTAATCTCACAACAGCCTAGAGGGACTGGAAAGTTTAAATTTACTGCCTAAATTTGACCTCTCCAAAGCAAACTTGAACACTCTGCTCATTCCATGGCCATTATGACTCTGGATTGATGTTTGTCTCGAAAATGCCAGAAAAATTCTGTGAAGCAAAATTCAGAGGGCTATTTTTTCCCGAGATATGATCAAAAAGTGCATCTTGAAGATCCCATAATCTCAAAACTTGAATTTAAATCACTCCATGTAATTTTACACCTTCTTCAGTACATGCTGTTTGAACTTTATACCACTTGACCTCATAGCTCTTGCATGTCACTGAATTAACAAGCACAAACTGATTCAATTTAGAAAAACCTGTGTAACAATTAAGCAAACCTCAATTCCTCCCAAATATCAAATTTCCACTCTGAAAGGAAAACATATTTCATTCAATTTGGAATAGGCAAGATGGGCAGACTAAGATCAAGTGTAATGGGTGATGCCAGCTCAGAATAGACTTGCCTTGTTTAGCATCATGTTGTAAAACAGCTATTGATAAAGAAATACAGCCTACAGATGTGGATGGTCACTGAAAATATTGTTGAAAATTCGCATTTAACATTACCTTGAGTAATCTAGAGAGATTTTGAGAGAGAGTTGTAGAATGCCACCATTTTAAATTTTGTTTGTAAGACACGAATTATTTTTCTTGCGCTATGCATTCAGAATTTGAAAGAAAACAACATCCATTCATTTAAGTTTTATTTCATTACTGGCTCTGTTTTTATGTTGAAATTTTTGTGGGAATTTTACAGCCAATTTTTTTATGTTTCTTTAGCAAAAAATGGTAGAAAACAGCTCACTGATGCCATTTTCAAATTAATGTGTGAGATGTAATCCTCTGATATGGAAGGAACATTCTTTCGTCTGAAGCATTATTTAATGAGTGCATAATTTCTTTGTAAATAAATTAGCATATTAGATTTCATTGAGCAGTTTTGTCTTTGTACATACTTTGGCTTCTCTCAACCCAGATAAAGTTTCGGGAAAAAACAACCTATTAACAATGTGTGTCTCATGCTGGCACAATGTAGGATCTTTTAATAAGGGAATTCAGACTTGGGCTATGTTTGTACAGTGTGCAATTATGCAGTACAAAAAAATGATGAAAAAAAAAAGATTTAGACCAAATCTGCATAAATTCACAGTTCACCTTTTTTAAAAGTTCCCAGTTTGTTTATTTAAAACAGTCATTTGCTAAAACTTTGCACATACATTTGAAACTATGGGTAACTATGAATCTGATAACAAAAGAAATAAAATTATTAATTTTTTGTACAACCAGATACTTTGGTTCTTTTCTTATTTTTCTGATAAGTACATATTGCTTTTAAGAAACATCACATAGTTTTATTCAAATTTTAGCCAAAAATACCCAAAAACTCAAGAGTTTGGGCGAAAGGAATTTACTAACAATATTACTGGCCTTTTTGTGATTCAAGTTTTTGTGCATAATTAGCCGATTTAAATCACCTTGATTTAAATCACAACCAAAGTCACAATTTAAAGCAATCTTTGAAAGTTATTTCATTTACATCAACATTTTAAATAAATTGAACAAGGCAAAAATGTGCCATAGTTTTTCTACTGATTTCATAACTGTTCCAATTGTTGTCAGCTCTTCATTACACACTGAAGGTTAAACATTGTGGATGCACCTGCATAACAAGGAATCTATTAGTAGGTTTATAGATATTTATTTTGTTCAATCTAAGTCACTTGTTTTGATTGATATCAGCTTTTTGGATTCCATGCAGGAGTTAAATGACCAGTGCATAGTTACTTAATAAAATATAGAAAATGATAAATAATCATAAAAATAATAAAAGTGGTATTAGATATGATATAAAATGCACCCAATAGACCTGTCAACGGGTAAAAAATGTACCCTGAGAGGAGCCGTTTATGCACAAATCAGACCATTTTCAGCTCTCAGCTCACATTATATTATGAATAAGACAGCTTTTTACACACATCAGAGCCTTGTAAATATCAGCTACACGTATTTGTATTTAGCTATGTACATGTACAGCATGTTTGATGGCATTTCCTTCACTCACTGGTCTGTCCATTTGTACCTCCCAATTAAGAAATCCTGTGAAGTCTACTTTGACCAAAACTTTGATCATGATTTAAGGTTTGATATTATACCCTTGGCATCTGCATGTCTGCTGTACGAGTACAAAAACAATGTATGTACTCTTGGACATGCATTTCATGTGGGCTAGACAGTGAATGTAAAGGAAAAAGTTCAAGGTGGTTCTTACTTGCCTTTATCATTTTATGTGACTTTAAACAAATTACTTTGATTTTAATCTTTTAAAGTTAAAGGTACAGTCCACCATTTGTCATGTGTCCGTTATGTTCCTTTGAGGCACCACAAATTATTCAAAATCTAAAGAACGATGCCAAAAGAACAAACTGATTCTAAGAGAAACAATATTCTAGAATTACAATTTCAGATTAAAAGTCATGTTTTGAATTGCACCCGAATTCTACGTCTCTGGCACGTTCTTACATTCATTGGATGCAGCTACACGATGTCACATACTAAGGTGATTATTAAATAATTTAAGGTGCATTTGGGGAAATTTGCCATTAGAAGCATGTGCAGAGCATCACTGGAAATGACCTTTTTTTTTAGTTTTCTTCAAAGTGACGCTTGCCAGAAAGACTAATTTAAAGGGAGTTGTACCATGACCGTCTTTAAACCATGCTTGTGCAACAGTAATGTCGTCAATGATGGACAGTACCTTTAATTGAAGTTTAATTTACATGTATTTGATATTGTAACATAAGAAAAATAATTGAATGGAATGCACATACAGCTAAATTTGCTTGCATTTGAAAATAAAGTTATCAGACTTATCTTCAGTATAAAAAGATTAAAATCCGATTGGAATCTAATTTCAAAATCCAACTTAAATTTTAAAACGTTTAGGCCTCACGTGTCAAGGAGTAAAACCAAAATGCATTTTGCTTGTTGAAAAGTCTTCCATTCTTGACCAGATCTCCTGAATTCATTCATCTGGTGCACTACTTGATTTTAGTTTCTTAACAGGTAAACTCTCGAAGCCCAACAGCTTACCGCGGAGCGTAGTGCTCGATTGCTGCGCTTTCACCGGCTCTAGTGTTAACACTGTGCGAGCAGTGCCATAGTACATGCACACTGCGTATGTGTGTACGTACATGTGCAAGACATCGACAGTGCGTGCAAGTGCAAGCAATGGCGCCACCAACCTTTGAACGTAAACATGACGTCATTAAGTACGGTCTCATCCCGAAAGCGCATGCGCGCCAACTTAAACTATCGCCCAAGAATCTTGTTGCGCATGCGCGTGGATTTTTTTTTTGATTGCGCAATCTGACTCGAATCTTTATATATTACTTCCAAATAGTTTAAGTAAGAAGAGCGTGTTGGCTTAGTGGTAGGCACTCTAGCGCTCAGGCCGGAGGTCCCTGGTTCGAATCCCGCTTCAGACATACAAGGGACTTTTACTTCTTTTTACGTATACGTAACCAGAGTAAAAAGGTGTAAAATTTCCATTTTATTTTATTTTATTTTATCTTCTTCCCTAGACGAACGCCACGGAACTCGGACCTATCGCAGGTTTCCCTGCTTCGGTCATCTCTGGTCCCGGGCCGGACTCGAACCCGGGACTCTCTGACCAGGAGGCAGTATCTCTACCGCCACTGCTGTTCGGGTCCCCGAAGAATCATTACTCGTTCCATATATTTATCTATCAGACTCGACTGAAAAGATGAAAATATAAAAAACCGCCTCCGGGATTCGAACCCGGGTCTCGATGACTAGCAGTTACTTGCCTTACCGCCCAGACCACTGGTGCTTCAAATTAAGCTTTCGGATTTAGATATATAAAGCTATGGTTCACGCGTGGTTAATACAACTTCAAACCTGGATATCATCGCAGTGGACTTCTCAACTCGGAGATAGATCTAATAAGTGGCGCCACCAATATTGGGCAGTATTAAGCGTTCGCTCGCATCATACAACCGGCGCTTTGCTCTTAGAGAATTAAACTCCGTGCCCAGTTGACCCCATGACGTCTTGATAAAAATACCCAAATGGATCCCGTGACGCTCCCTCCAGCCCTTGGAAGATGGTTGTATCTTGGAGATACAGAAAGTGAGATGTAAAATTAAAGGCATGATCAATCTGACGAAATGGGTGTCCCGAGTGTTGTGCAAAATCGCAGGTGTTTTTTTCACCTAACGTCTGCTTCTATACATCAAGTAAAAGCAACATGAATAACAATCCTGCTGGCTCAGAGCATTTTCTCAGTTGTCGAAAAAAGGTTGACTTTGTATTGGGGGGTTAAGTCAGGCACCAAAGAGGTGCTTTTCCATGAATTTTGGAATGAAGACAACTTGCAGTTCTTGGCCGAAGCTGAACCTGTAATTTGTGACTTCCAGATAATCCTGGACTGAGAGTACAGCTATCTTCCACGAAGCAACAAAGAGGAGGGAGTTACGGCTCAAATTTTAACAATGTTTTCAGCTTTTTTAAGGTAGATTAAATATGTAGTGCGGAGGTTTTCCGCACATGTGGCCCCTCTGGAGTGTTTTAATGCAATTCAGCCATTTCCAACGGCTAGTGTAGCTCTCAGACAATTGTACCTTAAAGCACGCCACTCCATTTTGTAATTTTTATTTCAAAGCTCTTAACGCATACTTCTCAAAATACATGTATTCGGAGGTGATGTGTAAAAACACTTTCAATAAAGAAAGATGTACGTCTAAATTACAATTCAATTACATCATGTTCACGAGCGCCCAAACCAAAAACTGCTATCAGGATGGAGTAAGCGAACAACATCCTGTTTTTTGGAACTTAAAAAATGACAATGCACAGGAATCATTACCACCCCCTCGTCTTTAGTACTGCAGGGAGAAAAAATTGTTTTGTATGCTTTATGGCAACGATGGAAAAATATTGTTGGTCCCTCAGTGGTTTTTTTTATCTTGCAGTATTTTTTCTCCAAAAGATGTGATCATTGTAGTCATATAGGAATTGCACTGGGTTTGAAAACACACAATACAGCACAATTATCAGAAGGTTAGCTCTATATGGCAACATGTCCAAGTAATTTGAAGAAAAATGAATTGGCCAAAATTTGATAATGGTAAATTCCCAAAAATCGGAAATCAAATATCTGAAAAAATGGAGATTTGAAAAAAATGAAAAATAAATAAATAACTGGTGTCTCAAACATACTGCCAAATTTTTCTGGTATTAAAATCTGCCCAAAAACTGCTTCGTGGGTAAATTTTTTCTTACTTTCTAAAAATCAATAAAAAATGATCTGCTGCCAAAAATATATGATAGGCCTATGCAATGTTGCCTGGGAAGTATCTTCAGGTCAAGTTAAGTAGAGATGAAATAAAAATTGAGGTTATCTTACCTGTTAATTTTTAATTAAAAATAGCTGTAAAGCTTTCACAAATACTTTATGCATAGAGCATTAATTACAAGTTTTAAGCTGGATGCTGTCATGCCCACATTATAGACTTTCTTTTAAAAATTTAAAAATTTTTGTTGAAAAAAATCCTTTTGTTCATGGTCATGCACTCAACCTTATTGAAATATAGGCATTTAAAGACGTTTGGGAAAAGTCTTTTCAGGCCTTATTTTATTGCACTGCCATTCAAAAACTGTGGTTGCTAAGTTAACTCTTCAGGAGATCGAGACTTATTCCACACACATTCATAGAGGCATCTCAATGGTCAGTGAGGCATTCAACACATGCAAATGGGCTTAGCCTATCTTCCAATTTACATTTTGATGCTTTGGAAAGATGATGTAACATTGAATCTGGCTTGAGACCCAAAAATATTGCGCATTTTCTTGAAAGATCTTTTGGGGGGGCTGAAAATGCATCAGGTGATTTATTACAATTTTTATCAATGACTGAATCAAGGCTGCAGAGAGATTATGAAAAACTCCCACAGACTCTGTTTTCCTGATCATATGTCACTCTCTTCAAAGAAATCTTCCTTCTTGCGACTAGACTCCATTCCAGTCTTATTCTTGGCCATCAGTGGTTTCATGGCGGCCTGCAGGCTGTTGTAGAGTCTAGGAAATAGTAGCTCTTGAGAGGCAAGCAGCTGTTTGGTGCGATGACGCTCCTAGAATGACAAACAAAAAATTCACATTTGAATCATAACAAAGGGCTTATTTTACACAGAGTAATAAATGACTGCATGCAAAATTTAATCCTCAAAAAGCCACTTTTTGGACCACCTCACATGTTGAGAGGGGCAGATTCCATCCCAACAACTTCGCTGTCTCTAAAACTTTTTCAAACTTGGCATGCATTTAAAGACACTACTATTCAATACAAATGTTAAGTTTCAACTCGGTCAGACTGATGATGTTGTAATGGCCAATTGAACTTCAAGGCCACATGCAGGTTGACCCATGTACAGTCGAGCACGTCAATGAAAATATACATTTTTATTTGGCTGACCTGTCTTGGAAAAAAACACTGCACAATAACAGCATGATATTTCAGTCAAAATGACTGCAAGATACTGTTGGAAAACCTCCCAGATGCTCAGCACTGCAATGATATCAGCAAAATGTTAAGGGTAGATTTCAACCCCCCCCCCAGCTCTTTTTGGATTAAACGTCACCATACCTGCTAACTTTGAAAAGCCAGAGATGGGACCACCCATTCTATGAACCTATAGCAAAACAAGCAGCCACACGAGAGCACCCTATTTGCATGCACATGTACACACATGCATGAACATACACCTGCCATTTTGACAGAACAAATGGCGCCTTCGTTTTTGCAAACAGCACCCTTTTTTCTGCAATAGCACCCTCTTTTGCTGGGAATTTTCAATTTTTTTTTCTTTAAATAGAAATTGGAACACTCCAAGTGTAAGTGGTCTGAAAACTGTAAAATTGTAACAATTTCAATTTATTCAGAACAGTTGGCAGGTAAGCATCACAGGCTCAGGAAAAGTAGAACACCTATTGAAAATTAAGCTTTCAGGTTTCCATGTCATTAGTTTCAGGAGCAGGATTTCAATGCTGTGTTGAAATATAAACGTGATATGCTTCACTGAACATCTAATAACGTTGTTGATAAAGCATTTCAGCGCAATAAGCTATGAACAAAAGGTAAGTTCATGACCTTTAGTTATTCATTAAGGTAAGTTCATGACCTTTAGTTATTCATTAGCAACTGAGTACCTTTGGAGCCTCAAAGCAGGCAGGGCAATTCTCTGGAATCACAGGTAGCTTAGCCTGCAAGAATGAGAAGAAAACAGTAAATGGTGGCAAATCTTTTGTTTGTTTTGCTTCTTTTGAGGCCAAATAATTTGCACGCAATAAGCTATTCAAAATATACAAGCTTTACAGCTGAAATTGAAAGACTTCTTGAGGGTGTTGTTATCAATGCAGAAACTAAATTAAACCCCCCATGTGATCATAGTGGTTACTACAGTAATGGGTAGTCGATTTTTAAATGGTCCAGGACTTAGACCTAGACTTTTCACCCTTATTTTAAGAACACTCAATGCTGTTATTGGTAAATTAAGTAAATTAAGTCTTTATCAAGTAATGGCACCGACACTTTCAAGGTATACACATATTTAGAAAATCTACATACCAAAGTAGATATAAGATCTAACTGCTGTTTCAAAACTGACATGGAGAGAAAAGACTCAGAAAAATTGTGCTATCACCTTTTCAGCGAAGTCTCTCAGATCTTTTTCCCTGGTATACACAAATGGCCTGATGACGCGCAAATCACCCTCCCTATACCAACAAAAAGAAGACAAAACACTGTAATCAGATTACATGAAGGTCTACATGTACATCACTGAAAGATGAACATTAAAGGTATTACTGTAACAGACAGAAACAAGCCTCTCTTTGTAATATTTCTACTTCCAAATTTCTAGATCCTCTGAAATTATGCAAGATAACGGCAACTTGAAAGGACATTCAATTCACTTGGAAGAATTTGCTTACTTGACAGTGTAGTTGGCTTTCATGGTGCGTAAAAGTCCATTGTGAAAGACAGACATCAGGAAACTGTCATGGAAATGGAATGAAGATGAACAGGATGAGGGGTTGAGGGCATTAGCAAAACTGTGACCAGATCTGACAGAACAATTCTCAAGGCCATTTCATTTCATTTGCAGTTTGGAAACTGAACTCTTTGTTTCACTGTTTTTAAACAGTATACCACTGTTTTGGGCATAGTGCGCCCGCGGATTAGCACCGCGCACAAAAGTGCTGCAGGGTCGCACTGATGAGCGACACAGCACTGCTGCATGCTATCCAGCCGCATTTGAAAAAACGCCACTCGCATTCACTGGGAACAAAGGAAATTACGCAACACCTCACAATTCTGGGCTCGCTTTACAGGGCGGCAGGACTGGCTGAAATACTTGGGAGTCAATGAAGGTTGCCTGTCAGCTTAGCCCACCAAACAGTCATTCATGCAGGTGTAAACGTCCATTAAATGAAATGATGAATTTTCGAAGAATTCTGAAAACTGGAAATCTTGAAAATGGCCAGTATGTGCGCACTGCATTTTTAAAAGCACCCAGCAGAAAGTGGTTAAATGGTCTTTACCTCAAAAGTGCTTCTTGTGACTTGCAATTCATTTCATTAGGTAAGGTCAAATCAGCAAGACCTATTCTCTTCATTTTCTTTTTGGTTTTTAAAAACCTCACATTAAATGTTAATAGTCACAAAGCCTATATGCAAAACTTTGACAATAAATCAGGCATATGTCGCTGACGTGAATATCACATGAAAAGACAGCTGACGAGCTTCTGACACCACAAAATTGGACTCCATGCTGTAAAATGTCAGACGATGCTGTGTAGCTTGCTGATAACGACACACTGCACATGTGCAGTAGAGTGCATATGCCAACAATGCATGCAATCGTTTTCCACATGCATTAAGTCCTAACTTGTGGTACCTGAACAACAGACAATTTTACCAGACCAGGAGTCAGCTGTGGTGTTTTCTGTCACATTCAGGATATAAAAAGTCATTTCAGAATAGGATGTCATATCAGAATATCCAATGTCCTGTCAAGATATCAAATGCCTGGGTTTTCAGATCTTTGTAACTATGATACTCATTTAACTGGTGTTGCAATTTCTGCGATGGTAACACCTGTTCAAAACCAACTCACCTCTCCGCTAAGTCATCCAGATGCTGCCCCATAGCCAACACATTGTACCCTTCCCTCCGAGCGCAGGCATAGAGACGGCCTCGCTTCATCCGAGAGCAGAAACTGCAGATGGAGTCGCAGCCACCTTCAAGACCGGCTGCTGTGTCAATGATGCCTAAGAAGGCCAAACCAGGTAGCTCTTCAAACTTTCAAAATGGCTTTAAGTTTAAGCAGTCCATGTATTAGATTTGATATATTTTTCCTTTGTCTTTCCTCAGTTCAACTGGTGTGAGTCTGAAAAACATTTTAATTTACTGTGAGTTTGTACAAGGGTGGACACTACTGAAGATAAAAGTAACACACACCACACAGTAGGCTAATTAATTAAGCAGATATTTTGGAACAGAAGTATTATTTCCAGTACCTGAGGACTAATTTTCTCTCTAATTCCCTATCCTAACGTGTACCTATTTCAAAGTAATAATGTACTTTCCTTACATTGTTCTTCAAAAAAGTATGGCATTCTCAGATTTGCCAAGTATGGAATCAGTGGTCGTGGGTCATAGGCCGAAGTTTGGGGGTCAACTGTTACTCCACCAAGTTCAAACCTGATTCCCTGCAAACAAATACCAAAGTCATTGGAAATACATCAATCAAATGAAATGTTGGAAATGTTGTTATAAAAATAAGGGCAAACACCCGTGTTTGTTTTTTACAAGCCTTTTGGTTAATTTCCCGGCAGCCCAGTTTCATAAATGAAATGTGTACCAAAGTCTGCACTGATAAGAAAGGAACATGTATGTCTATCCCCAGCTACTGACCTTGCTTTTAGCATAAAACTGGTACTGTCTGAGAGTATGCAAGAGAGAGAGACTATCTTTCCCTCCTGACAAGCAAACCAGCACACGGTCACCATCCTGAATCATCTTGTACTCTTCTAAAGCCTGAAGGAAAGCACAATGAAAGCAAGAAAGAAAGCCTGAGAAGTTAAGACACCGCCAAACTCTCCTGACCATTTCTGGCAAAGAATCAGACATGGAGTGAAAATAACCGAGTTTATGAACAAGCAATCTTTTTGCCTCAAATGAAGCAATGTTGTCTTGAATGGACAGTGTTGGTTTCCTAGACGAAACAAATGTCAGGTTTTTGGAGTGACAGATCACACGTAGCCTGGCATCCAAATAATAAGGAACAGGTGTCTCTACTCTGAATTACTCTTTCAATCAAAAATCGGACCCTAATTCCATTCATTTTGATTACCTGTACTGTTGGTTTGAAGATGCATTTGGGCGGTCTCTGAAAGCCTGACACTCTTCCTGCCACACCACTCTTCTGATCCTTAGATAGCTTTAGCTTTTCAGTACTAGAAGTTAACTCCTCTGAACACAAGTCATGTGGTGAGTTCACAGACTGTGGTAAAGGTATCCTCTGGGAAATTTTGTATGTTTGCTCGGTGGAGTTGGTTCTGCACTGCTCTCTCTTAACATCCACTGACCAATGTTTCTCTGATGTCCCTGTAACTTCCTGAGAGTCATTCATGTTAGGGCAACATCCAGAACAGCCATTTGATTCATTTTCTGTCCTTTGCAGATTATGTGAACTATCCGAGAGATCTGCCCTTAATCCTAGAGCAGGAGTGCTGCTTTCCCAACTAGGAATACTATTTAAAGTTTGCTCCACTCCAGAGAGAGTATCCCTGGTGTTATCTACAACTGGATCAGCGGTTCTCTTCTCCACTGAAAAACTAGGCTGATTGCAATTGGATTGTATGGTCCCAGACTTCAATTTTTCAGTGTTACCATCCCTACATGCCTTTCTTGTTATTGCCGCTGCAGGTTTATTGAGCTGGTAAGCTGAATGGTGTTTAATAATGTTGCATGTTTTACCACTCGAAACAACTGCATCATCGCAGGAAGTCAACAAACATGTGCGAGAAACTGAACTCTGTTTGTCGTTTTTAGCATTCTCTGTTGACAATGACTCATCACTTTTGCTACTTGGAGTCTTTCTAACAGCAATATCCTTTTCTTTATGCTCAATTTGACCTTTGGCATCAGCAACCATTTGGTTTGGAGTTGTGGAGGGGTCATTACCATGCCCTTGTCTAATCTCAACGTCATTGTAGGCATTCTCAGTAAATCCATCTTCAACAGTATTCCGGAATAGCTCAGCACAGCTCAGTTGGTTACAAGCATCATGTGACACCTCCATAGCTATGCACTCAGAGTTTATCTGACTCTCTGTATTGTCACTGGTGAAACACTCTGATGTTGGCTGTGTTGTTCCCAAAGTTTCTTCTACACTGCCAACCATGGAGCAACCTGAACCACAATGCCGTTTCTCGTCCATTTTCGAGTCAAAAGCATTGGCAGGATCCTTCTTTTGTTTGTACTTGACAGGCTCAAAAGGCAGTTTTTTGCGCAAAGCACTATGGGAAGACAGTGACTTGTTGCTCAGTAGACTCCGTGCCTCACTAGGTAACATGAACCACCGCAAGTCAGCAGCCTTGCTGTCAAAGAGCAAACTCTGGTCTGGTAACTGGACTCGCACCTGTAAAGAGAATTATATGAAAATAAAATATTCCAAACAACCTAAAATACACTACTCAAAAAAGTGAAGGACCACTTTTTTCTTAACTTGTAATTTTTTTTCCAAGCAATGAGTGGGGTCTAGTTCTTTCAGTTTTGTTTGCCTAGATGGTGTTCTCATTGAAATAAAAAATGTTTAAAGTATTTCAAAACATCAAATACATACTTTCAGCTGTAAAATATCTCATGTCAAAAAGTATGGACAAAATAAAAAGTGGTCCTGAACTTTTATGAGTAGTGTATAAAAGTGTATCATTAATTGCACAGCTACCTACACTTCTTTATCCAAAGCATCAAACTCAAGATTGTAATTTCAGGCTTGGAGATTTAACAAAGGCAATGACCTCCACCAGTCTCACACTTGATGTGATGTTTTGAAGACAACAGTTTTTTGGGTTTTCTTGAACAGCCTTCAATTAATTTTAATCTGTTCAAATGGTCCTACCCTGCATAATCAAACGTCAAGTAAGAAAGAATGGTTTGTGCATACCTTTTCTGCCTTCTTGAAGATTTCTTCACCAAGTCTTAGACAATCCTGAGAGGGTGAAAGGCAAATTCATACGCCTGTAGCCATGTACATATCCAGAAAGGAATGCAACCTCAGAGGCTCCAATTACACCGAGTGGCAGAAATACTCACTACCATGATGCCATTGTAGTGATTCTTGGCTGTTGTCCATACACACAAACTTATTACTTATTTGCTTATAAACTTATTTTAAAAGGTTTCAGAAAAAAGATGTCCCACTTTATTACTACGGGTGATTATACCAAATCTGCCAATGTGACCAAAACGCTCTGTACCAAGAGAACAAGTCCCAACCTCTTGCTGAAGTTTGCAGTCCTCCAGGGCAAAGAGTGTAGTATTTGTGCAGCAACACATCATACACATTAATGAAAAAGCCCACCTTTATGGCACTGGGCTGATTTGAGTGCTTCAATCTTCTTTGCATCACGATGCAATTCAGTCAGCCTACATGTATGCGTCAGCACAAAGAATCCTTATCAGTAACCTCCTTCCCTAACCATTCTGGATTTAAATCTGCATATTACCTTATAGTCTGCTGGAAGCCTGCCTTTTGTCTTTAGCACTGGTGGGTCGGGGTACATTATCTTGCCCTCAGAGTAACTAATAGAGCCCAGCCAGCGTCGATCTTGGAATACCTGGTGGTTTCTCTGCTTCCATTCGCCAGTTTCTGGATTAAAAATATACTGTGGATGAAAAAAAGACTTATTATTATTTTTGGTATTTTTTGGTTACACACAAAAAATATTTTGATTAATCAATAATAACAATTTATGGCGAGAGGATATTAGTCAAACAAAGAAGTTTGAAGAGTATCAAACATTTTACTGTGGTTCATGCAAGAATGACCAATGGCTGCATATCATACATCCAGGTCATGTCTTCACTCCAGTCACCTGTGGTAAGAGCTTCCAGGCATGTTGTGCTGTCAAGCTGACAGCATCCAGAACAAACTCAACGCACTCGTCATCCATGAAATAGGGAAGGTTAAGTCGCGTAAAGCCAGGTCTATAAAATACAAAAATAACAATCTGCATTAAAATGAACCAAATACATGTAAATTTCTGTATACTGAAATCCTGACCCCAAACAGGAGAGATTACAAATGACACAAATGCTTCTCTGAATACTGGAACAAATACGTAAAATGTGGGAAAGGAAACCATTCATAATTCAGGTTGCTAAAGTAAGCTTATGGCAAACTCTGCTACCTACAACTGAATCCTGACTTGTGACATATTAATTAAGTCATATATTTTTTTTTTTACTTGTACCTTTGGATCAAAGAATCAAGTACCTTAGTATTTCTCTCTCTGAGTATTCAGTGTAACGTCGTAGGTGTATCCTGTCCAGACGACTATGAGGGAAAAAGGAAACATAACATGAACAAACAAATTGGTTTCGGGAAAAAACATATTTGTCAAATTGAAGGCCCTCAGTGAGGAAGGCTGGGTTGTGTGAACTTGTGGATGGTATGATTTTTTTGAAATTGGCTTAAAGACTTGAAGATATGATTGGTTGTGTTCTGTAGCTGGAAAAAGTTATACAACATATCATTCTTTGGGTAATTAGAGGTGAACATGAGTGTGGGTGATGATGCAGCCACAGGAAACACAAGAAAAGGTTGAATAAGCAAGGTTCGATCCCTCAACAGAATGCGGAATTTAATAAATCAAACCAAAATTAATGGAGGTCAATTCCACAGGCACATTGGCTTACAAAAACTTTTTCAAAGTTATTTTCTCTACCTTATGCTGGAAATCAAAAATGAAGTAAATTCACCTGTCTTCTAGAAGCACTGCCTCAATCTCCTTGGCCAGTTTCAGGTCAATCCCGAGCAGATCCTGCAGAGCAATTTGGAAACAAAACCAGCATTGACAATAAGCCTTTTGCGAGTAAAATTTGAATAAAATCTGGTATACTGAGTTATCTGGTCGCACATAAACAATTTGAATTCCCCAGACTAAACACACTGTTGCCATACCTCATGATTCGGAGCAAGCTTTTGCTTGCTACATAAGAGACGCCTTGCCTTGATACAGTGTTTTCAATGGATAAGTGTCTTTAGTATGGAGAATTCAAGTTGTTATACTGATATGAATTTAAAGAACTCTGTGTACCAGATTTCATTCAACTTTAACTCGCAATAGGCTTATTTTGATTCAAATTCCCAACATGCCCAAATAAACCTGAAACCGGTTCAGCTTTTGGCATTACTAGTGACGTGCTTTTAGTGAAACTTGCAGAAAAAAAATTATTTCTAGATGAATGCTTTTCTCAGGATTTACGATCATACGGAAAAATGTTCATGCCGAAAAATGTCACAGATACCTGTGCATAGGGTCCAGCACACGCACAACCACCCCTGGCCTGTATGCCAAAGACATCGTTCAGAACAGCACAGACAAAGTTGTGGTGCAGAAACTGCCCAGTGGTAGGATGTCTGATCAGGAAAGAGAATATAGGAAGACGGGGCACAGCAGTGTTGCCCAGAAGAACCAGACTAGAGCAACCAGACCATCTCCCAAAGGCTCTCCTGAAAAAAACAACAACAAAGAAACATTATTGTGGGAGCCAACTGTCAGGCTGGAATCAAGCCCACCATGATTAATTTTCATTTTCGATGCAAAGCCCCTCCTGGAAATGTTCTGCTTACTTTCCAACCTCAAAGTTCACTGGTAGTTTGAGTAAGTCAGACCACCTCTCTTCACATACAAATTAGACAAGAAACACCCATGGTTTCAATGCCACTCAAGTCAGCTCTTGAACCTACTCTCACATTAAGAGCCAAGTCTAACAAAAAGCACTGGAATTGCCCAGCTTACGTTACATGTACAGTGGTGGACAGACTTTATAC